TCTCTCTCTCTCTCTCTCTCTCTCACACACACACACACACACACACACACACACACACACACACAATCAATAAATAAATCAATCAAAATACATGTACAATAAAAAAAAACCAAGCGATCAAACAAACAAATAAACAAACGATCAACCAAATAAACAAATAATCAGACAAACAAACAAACAAGCAAGCAAACAAACAATCACACAAAGATTGAGACCAGGAACCAGCTGAACCCTTGACAAGACAGGCGACCTGGCTCAGCCCCCCGAGACCGTCGATACATTGATATATAGGTGCTAGACGGTCAGAGTCAGAGTACATTTTTTGTATAAAAGAAGGTACAGGGGCCTAGATCTACCGTGTGTCGAACCACTGAGCCAGACACTGCCGTCTGTTCTACACATGTATGTCGAAGGTGAAAGGTCAATATCTGCGACCTGCGACCAGCTGATAGTTCCCATGTTCATGCGGGTAAGTTCTATAAACTGTAACCAGTAACCACGGGCTGCTGTTTGGTCAACGACTAGACGGTCATAGTATAATTACATATAGGTCAACGCATACAGGTCATATTATGTAGCCTACAGAGTTAACGGGAGGAGTGTGCCGTACCGAGCGACCTTTATGGATTTTTGAGTAAGAGTTTTACGGCACTTGAAACACAATAAGGTCATATAAAAATGATATAAGTGCCCAAGAATAGATGTGTTATATTACAAGAGAGTAACGTCTACACAAAAAGGAGGAGGAGAGATGAGCATGATGGATGTTTGATAGGAAAGAAGGAGCGAACCACCTCAGAGCACCCGCCAACCACCCACCTATTATGAATGAGATAGATTCAGTACAGAGGGCTACGGTTAGGGTTAAGGTTAGGATTATGGTTACGGTTAGGGATAGGGGTAGGGGGTAGGAGTAGGGTTAGGGTGAGGGCTAGGGGTAGGGGAAGGGTAAGGTTTAGGGTTAGGGTTAGGTCTCTTTATTTTTGTTTGTGTTTGTTGGGGTGGTCGCTCGTTACGGAAGTCCTTCCGTGTTAACAATCTTGGGTACAAGCCAAATATCGTGTATAGTAGAGAATCTTGTCTTTGGTACAAGCCCCGTCACCAAAGACCGTGTATACCGTCACCTACCGCTATATTACGACCTAGACTAAGGTCGATGGAGAATCTTTGCTAAGGCCACACAATATTTGTTTCAGATACCAGCAGTGTCGCAGTTGACGACAACCAGTTCGTTTTGTTCTCAGATTCTCATACTATCCCAACGATAATGTAGCACAACTGTATATATATATAT